TTTCTTTCTTTCTTTCTTTCTTTCTTTCTTTCTTTCTTTCTTTCTTTTTCTTTCCCTTCCTCCTCCCGTCCCCTCCCCTTCCCTCCTCTCCTCTCCTCTCCTCTCCTCTCCTCTCCTCTCCATCTCTTCTTGTCTATCCATCAGATATCTGGTGCAATGGATAGGAAGACCTGAAACCCTGAAACCAAATCTGGACTCCAACGCTTACTAGCTGTGAGATGCTGGGCAAGTCAATTAACTTGTTTGCTTTGGTTTCATCAGCTGTAAAATGGAGATAATAAAAGCGACCTCTTCACAAGGATGTCGTGAAGCTTAAATGTAATACTATTTGTAAAGTGCTTAGCACAGCTCCTGGCACAGAGTAGGTGCTATATAGTGCTTATTCCCTCTCTCCACTCCCTCTTTCTTTCCCTCATCCCCACTCTCTCTTTTGTCCTCTCCACACCCCTAGGGCTAGTGCCTCTCTTCTGCTGCAGCACTCTGGGGCCCTGGCAGCAGCCCCAGCCAGAGCTTATTGAGTCTTTCCGTAGAAGTAGGAGGGGCTGTCTTCTGATAAAGAAAGGGAATGTGTCTGCTAGTGGATACCGGTCTTCAACATGGGAATTGGGCTAACTGAAATCAAACATTTCCAAATTCTCCAAAGCAGCCATTTGAAGGATAGATTTGATCAAATTTCAAGGGAAATGACATATTTAATTGCTAAGTATATTAAAAGTGAACTTTTGACTGAACAGCCTGAGATGCTGCTGCTGTCAATATTTATACAGCACTTACTCTGTGCCAGGAACTGTATAAAGCACTTTACAATTATTATATCATTTGAGCCTCACAACCACCCTATGAGATAGGTGCTATTATTTTTCCCCATCCCCCCATTTTATAGATGAGAAACTGAGGCAAGCTGGAGTTAAGTGATTTGCCCAAAGTCACACATGTAGTGTCGAGTGAACTTAGATCTTCCAGAGTCCAGACTCAAAGTCCCATCCACTGTACCACCTTGCTTAGCCTAGTGCCTAGCACAGAGTAGGTGCTTAATAAATGTTTGTGTCCTCCTCACCCCTCCTACCCCATCAAATCTTTGCTTCATCACCATAATGGCTGGTGTTGGTATCATTAACAGACAAGGGGCAAACAGCCGTACAACATGAGTCAAATTGATTACAGAATAATCTATCTAAAGTCACTGTAGAATTCAATTATGGCAAGTCTAATACAGTGGAATTCAAAAGGAATAATTATTATTATTCACTTTTATGATGTGTTAATTTTTACAAAATATTTTCCTTAAATTGACTCTGGAATATAATTGGGACAAGCATTTTCACCCTTTTTTACAGATGAGGAAACTGAGACTGAGAAGCTAAGAGATTTGATAAAAATCAGTTAAATGACTGATGAAATGACACAAATAAGTTAAATGCCTGAGCTAGGACTTGAACCCATGTTTCCTGACTCCCATTCCTGTGCTCAATCCATGACAATTCCAGAAAGCTATCCCTGGATTGCCTTTTTGGATTTTCTAGCACATGCACATGTACATGCACACACACACACACACATGTTTCACGTGGTTAAAATATGACACACAAGTGCTGATAAAAATGTTCAGGCAGCTACAGCAAGAAGCATTATGCAACCTTATCAGATGGATAGTAGTTCAACCCACACCTTTCCTAATGCCTTTCAGTTTTTATTAGGCAGGATGTTTTGCCTTGTCCGAAAAGTACCAAAACCATATAAACAGTCAGATGTGCACAGAAGTCTATATTTAGATACCACCTGTTTTGTGTCAGTAGGAAAGCCCAAATCTTTCTTCAGACACTGAATAGCAATGTGAATGTAGGCATATCACTTAAGTTTTCTGTGGCTCAGTTTCACCATGTGTAAAATGAAGGGATTAAACTCAAAGACCTATCAGATCTCTTTCACTTTCAATCTATGATTCTAGGATCCTAATATGTTCTTGTCCCCCTCCTTCCCCATTCTATCTAGGCTTTTACTGAACAAGTCCCAATAACACTTCATATGGTATGATAGAAAGGGAAAAGGACATGTCCTCATAAGATCTGGATTTGAATTTTGATTCTAACATGAAGAAGGTATGGTCATCTCATTTTGTGGCTGAGAAAATCTCTTGTCTTTTCTAATCTCAAGTTTCCTCATCACATGAGCCAATGAATGCCAAGTTGTTTTTTTTTTAGACTTAAATGTGTTACATAACCAATGTCTTTTAAAAATTATTATTGTGATTTTTTTTCATGGGGATAATAATCATGATATTGTCTTCACAGAGACAATAATCATGATATTGTCTTCATGGGGACAATAATCCATGCACAGTGTCACATACAATTTCTATGTGAATAGGAGCTATTGTTATTATTATAACAAGTGACATTGCTAGTGGGCAGAGTTTTAAGGCAGGGCTGCACCAAACCAGGGGCTGGGAACGTTAAAGGCTTCCTTTCCCAGAGAAGCCAAAGGAAACAGAAAGTAAGGCCTGGGGCCTTTGGTGAACAGAACACATTGTGTGTCCTGGGAGGCTTGATTCACACAATAAGAAAGCTCTTATTGCACAAGGGTCAGAGGTTTGAACTGGAGACATGTGAGAGGTCACACAGGCACAGCTTCATCTCTTAATCATTTCCCCTTAAACAAAGCCCCTGAGACCAAAATAACACCAGCTCCAGCTGCTTATGCATCACTTTTCACGTTCAGAGGTGCTTCTTATCTTTTTTTAAACCAAGTTGCAAAAATAAATAGACCACAAGAAAGTTATATTGTCTTTCTGAAAAGAGAGCCCACTTTCTTTGGGCCTCCATTTCCAGTGCTTGCTGCTCCATAGTAGTAATAATAGCTAAGCTTTATATATCACATTAAGATTTCAAAAGCACCATACATAATCTCATTTAATTCTCATAGCCACCCTCTGAGCTAGTTACTACAATGATTATTATTCCCATTTTATGGGATGGAAATTCAGAGAGGTTAAGTGATTTGACCATGGTCATACAGAGAGCAAATATAAGAGACAGGGTTTGAACTGTTATTTCCTGACTTGCTCTTGCCAATATACCACATTGCTTTTCTTATGGTAAGGCTCTATAATCCCTTGGCCACAAAGAGCTAGCACAAAAGTAGCCAAAACACCCAGAATTCTCCCGAACATGTCAATTCCCATAGGTGTACAGTGGAAAGACCATGAATTTGGAGATAAAGGACACGAGTATGAATTCTGGCTCTGACACAACCTGTGTGACCTTGACTAAGTCATTTAATTTGTCTGGGGTTCAGATGACACTCTATCTCCTACCCAGTGTCTTGGCACATCCCTCAATTCTGGAACGTACTCCCTCCTCCTCCTTGATGCTCCTTCTTTTAAGATGAAGGTCAGTCACCATCTTCTACAAGAACTGTTTCCTGATCACTCAATTGCTAAGGTCCTATCTCCTCAAATACTTTGGTTTTACCTATTTTGTACATTTTTTGGTATTTATTCACATTATATTTTTACTGTACGTATTGATATGTGTATATATTGTCTCTTCTATTAGAATACAACTTTTCACCAAGACCCAAGTTGGAGTGGAGAGAGGACAGAGATGGTAGGGATGATCTAGGGTTTGCTGTTTGGCAAGATAGGAGTCACAGTAGAACAGATGTTGAATAGTGTATAGTTGAACTGGTCATAGAGTGGTTGAAATGGAGTAAGAGAATGTTAGAAAGGTACAGTAGTGGCCACTTTGTGGAAAGCCTTGAGTATGAGCCCAACGAAGGTATTGATTCAGTAAGCCATAAGGAGACCTTGTAGGTTTTTGAGGATGTGACTGAAATGACCAGAGCCTTGCTTGAAGGATATAATGTCACAGCAGCATAAAGGATGGAGTAGAGGCAAGAGCCAGTGGAGACGGGAATACCTCTTATGATGTTATTTGCAATAGTTCAAGGTGGTGGTAGAGAGAAAGTGATATGTACCCCTTTAAAGTAGAAAAACATTCACTGATATGATCAATTTCAACATATCAATTTTTATTAAGAAAGTGATAATTCCTTGCTTTGTTGATAGAAATAATGCCACCCTAGACCAAATCACTGCCAAAGCCCAAGTGAAGCATTCTATGCTTAAGAGCTGGTGACCGAAGGGTGCCCCAGCCACAGGGCCACTGACCCCATGGAATGCTTACCTGGTCAAAGGGAAAATTGATTTCCACTAGATTTTGGTGCAATATTGTGGGATATTTTCTTGACTATTTAACTGAAGGTGGTTTGGGGCAGGGAGCACCAGGAATCTTTACTCTAGTTTAGAAACACGTTTGCATTATAATAATCATAGCTTACATGTGTACACCTATATTTTTTCAGAGTTATTTAAAATCATTTCCACATCCATTTGATCTTTATGAATCCTTCAAGATATTAAAAAATGGAATTTTTAGTTCCATTTTGTAGATGAAGAAACTGAGGCCTAGAAAAATTAAGAGCTCATGAGTAATACAGCTGGTATTTGGTAGGGCAAGGGCTATTGCTCAGAGCATCTGCCTCCACACATCTGCCTCCACCCCTAAGGCTCCCAAAGATGTTTACAAATATTATCGCATTTAATCCTCACTACAGCCCTAGGAGGTCGGAGTTACTGTTAGCATCCCCCATCTGAGGAAGGGGGAAATTGTGACAGTGTCTGGGGCAGGATCTGAACGTCCTTCTGACGCCAGGTCCAGCGCCCTACCCACTGCATCACCAATTGCCTAAGCAGTGACTGTAGCCACGCTCAGTCCTAGATGTAGGAGTCGGAGCTCCACCGGCCCCAGCGGGTTAAAACCATCGAGTTGAGCCTCCCTGTATCCTAGAGTGGCCGCAGCGGAAGTCGTGTTGCGGGCCGTCCGCTGACTTCCGGCGAGAGGAACGGGAGTTGGAGCTGCGCGTGTAGAGCTAGGCCGCGGCAGCTGTGGCGGTAAGTGAGTGGGTCCTCGCGGACGGGCCTGCGTGGGCCGGGCTCCACACCCGCGGCCGCCTCCTCTGGGCTGCTGGACCGCCGCCGGAAGTTGGGCTCCCCCCGACCCCGCGGGCTTGGGCCGCGCTGGAACTGGGCCTGCGGATCCTGGGGCGGGGACAGCGGCACCGCCCACGGGTGGCACGGGAGCCGGACCCTGCTGGTGGTGCTGTCAGAGGGATCGGGAAACTGAGGCCTCGGCGCCCCCGCTGCGCCCCTCCACCGCCCCCCAACCCGGGAAGTCATTGTCAAAGCCGACGGGGCTCGGGGCGGGAGGGGGGCACCGCTAGTGGAGTGTTGGGTCAGAAGCAGCCGTCAGTCCCGTCCACGAGCATTTATGCGCCATGCCTGGGGTCGTGGGGTACCCACTCACCTCCCACCACCCATCCCCCCAAAAAAGGAAAAAGGGGTGCCATTGTATTCGGGGAAAATAATAACAATAGCAATAATAACAGTAGTACTAATAACAGTAACGATAGGAATAGTAACAATAATAGTGATGACAGTAATGGTAGTGATATAGTAACAATTGTAACAGTAATAATAACAGTAATAGTAATAATAGCAATAATAAGTTAAAAAGTAATAGTGGCAGAGAACAATAGTGATAATAACAGCAATAATAATTGCAGTACTTACAGTAACTGGTAATAATACTGGTAGCAACCTTAGTAATGATAAGAGTAAGAATAATAGTCATAATAAGTAGCCTTTAGAGAGGACTTGAAGGTTTGCAAGGCACTTTGCAAATGTCATTTCATTTGATTCTCACAACAATCCTGGAAGGTGAACATTATTATCCCCATTTTACTTGGGGGAAGCCTGAGGCAGAGGGAGGTTAAGTGATTTGTCCTGGAGCCATGCGGCTCATAGATGCATTGAGGCTGGATTTGAACCCTGGCCTTCAGGACTCCAGTACCTCCTCATATTCTTTCTCCACCCTTTTAGCTGGAGTCATCAAAGAGCTTCCTTCTGGGGGAGGTGAGCCTGGAGGGATGGTAATGAATGTTGGCTTATGGTTCTAAAGTGTGCTTTGGTACCCATCTCCACTCTGTGAGGTCAGTGCCCTGAGATGCTATCCCCACGGACAGATGAGGTAGTTTGGTTCTGTTGCCTCGGTGATAAATAAAGCTCAGAATTTGATTGCTGGGCTGACACCAGCCTCCCAAGCTGAATGTGAGGAAAGAAGGAGGTAAGGGGAGGGCAGGAGTTGCACACCTTAGAGCATCTCTTTGATTGCTAACTATCTTTGGTTTTATTTTTATGCCACCTTGCAACACTTGAGGCAAACTTGCGTATTTTAGAGCAGGGGCTCTTCCCCATTGTTGTGTCCTTGGAAGGCTGTGGACCCCCTCTCATAGTAATGTTTTTAACAGCATAAAATAAAATATACGAGACTAAAGAGGGCGCTAAAGATTAGATATAAAGATACAGGTTTTTTTGTTTCACCCTTCCAAGTTCAAGGACCCCCCTGAAATATATCCATAGATGCCTTGGGACCTTGGGTTAAAAACAACCCCTGTTGTAGAAGAAGGAATTGAGACCCACCCAGAGACACTGGATGGTTCAGCCCAGACTTTCTTTAGTTTTATTTGATCATTGTTAGTGAAGAACCATGGCGTGTTGAACAGAGAGAGAGGGCCTCAAAGGCAGGCAAACCAGGGTTCAAGCCCTGTTTCTGCCATCCTGACTGAATGACCCTAGAGAGTCCCTTGACTTCTCAGTGTCCTAGACAGCTTAGACTTGAAATTATGGATCAGGGGCTGATTGATAGAGCATCAGTAGAATCTCTGTACATTGAAGGCACATGTCTAAGGGGGTCCAGAAGAAATAATGTAATGGGGAGCATGTGAAAAAAGGAATGAATGATGGCATCTCAGTAAGTACTCATTCCTCAGCCTGCCCTTGGAGGCCTGCTACAAGTTGTTTCCAGGTTTATTTCACACTATGCTACTCACTTCACTTGCAACTGGACAGTCTAGCTCTTCTGTCCTGCTTCCCCACCCCTCCACCTCTATGTATTTCTATAGGCCAAGGGTGAGGACCCTGCAGCTTTGAGGCCACATGTGGCCTTTTGACAGTCCAAGTTTTAAAGAACAAATCCTTTTATTGAGGGATTTGTTTTAAGAAGTTTGGATTCAGTCAAAGGGCTGCACTTGAGGACCTAGAAGGCCACATGTGGCCATGAGGCCACAGGTGTCCCGTCCCCTTCCCCCCTCCCCCCCTCCCCCCAGCTATAGGCTCTTCCCACTACCCAGAACTTGCTTTAGTCACCTCTTCCATTAAGTCTTCCTTGATATTCCACAGAGGAAAGGGATCTCTTACCTCCTCAAACTTCTCTTTCCCTGCATTTCTCTCTTATCACATTCTAACTTTATTATCCTCATTATCTATTAGTTCCTATCTCTACTAAGTTAGCATCTGTCATTCTCCTTCTTTGAATTCCCAGTGCCTACCACATAGTAGATAACTTTAAATGCATGTTGAATTGCATTGATAAGCAGTCACAGTAACAGCATAAGAAACCTGTCCTTGAGAAGCTTTCACTCTTATTCAGATAAAAGATAAGCACTACATGATTATTTGAGAATAGAGATGCGGTCACAACTGGGGAGACTAGGAAAAACTTGTAAGAAGTAGTAGCTGAGGTTAGCTTTGAAGGAGGCTAGGGATTCTGAGGGGCAGTGTTCATGAGGGAGGACTGTACACTTAGGCCTCTCACATTTTTTAAAAGATTCTGATAATGGGTAGGGTAAATTGTCATTGGAATTTTGCATGTAGAGACTGAAGTGAGTAATGTATGATTTCATTTTCTTTTCCCAGTGTTCTTTTGTTTGCACTGACCCAGGATAGTTCTCAGTTCATAGTGTAAACCCTATATAAAGGTTATGCTTCACAACAGGAAGAGGACCTATAATTTCATTCCACATGAAGTAAGTAATAGCTTTAATGTAATCTCACCATTGGCAGTGGTTATGAAGGCTACTCTTTTGAACAGATTCAGGGCCTTTTTGAAAAATATAAAAGTTGCAAACTTCATATTTTGAGAGATTTTAAAACTTGACATTTGGAGGATCTGGATATTTTAAAACTTTGGATCTGATTTTAACCTTTAAGTTTCATGTGACCATATATCACCATCATCATCTCCCTCCTATTAAACTCATCAGTCTTTTTTTTTTTCTTATCTGTTTCCATTGCCTGTTTCCTACTCCATTGAAGAGCAAACAATTCTTTGAATAATTCCTTCTCTCCCCATGGAAAGCTATCATACTACAGTTTTTTTGAGAAGGTATTATTTCTTTTCCTTGTGATTTTTTTCTTATCCAGAAAAAAAACCACACTTATATGATTATCAGATGTTAATACTTATTTACAGAGTGAAACTCTTATTGTTAAGTACTCTAAAGTAACTAATAATTTAGATTTATAAAGTTGGGATTGTTGAGGTATACAAAGAGAAAACATCATGAATCTCTCTTGATGCAATTCATTGTTGCATTTATTCCACCAGATGAAGAAAGAACCTAAATCCTAGGTCAGAATCACTCAGGGATAAATAAATATTGGACACCTATTTATTATTTCATCTATGAGTACTGGCAAATTTCAAATATATTTTTATGCTTATATCTTGAACGTATAATATTTTTAGAATAGTCTATTCCCAATAAGAATTACAGGTGTTCCTCTTTCAATGTATCTTCACATTTTATTATTCCATTTATTTGGCATAATTTAATCTAAATTTTATTCCTTATTTCCTTTTGTAAAGTTAATTTTTTTATTATGAACTTGATCATTAACACAAACATTACAATAAATGAAGAACAAAAAAGAGGATTGTATATGAAACAATAGTTCTGTTCTATTTCTTTTAAATTTTTTTTGACAGTCTGCAGCATATGCTTTTGTCACCTTCTGGATGCCTTTTGTACTTTTAAAATTTTACTTATACTTTTAAAAATCTATAGCTCTTCCTGTTAAGTCATTTCTCTCTCCCCAAAAGAAGCCATTCTACATACAGCGCTTCTACAAATAAATGATGAGTGTAGTCAAGCAAAATAAAACCATATACACCTTGCTAAAAAACCTATGTCTCATTGTGTACCTCTAGGTATATAGGTGATGGCCTGGAGGTATACAATGAGAACATTTCTTACGGCACAATAATATTCTATTACATTAATTTCTTTAGCTACTTCCCAATTAGTGGGCACTCAGTTGTTTCCAATCCTTTGCTCAAACAAACGGGAAAAAAAAAGGGCTGCTATAAAAGTTTTAATACTTTTGGGTCATTTCACTCTGGCTTTGACTTCTTTTATGGTCTAGGCCTAGTTAAGTGGTATTTCTGTGTAAAAAGGTATGGACAGCTTAGTGATTTTTTGAGTACAGTTCGAAATTATTTTCTAGAATATTTAGACTAGTTCGCAGCTTCATCATCAGATTTATTTTCCTTCCCACCTATCTCCATTTGCAAATGGCCATGTTGTCAGAATAGAAAAAGGACAGCTACAAATGCAGTTGGGATTTTGATATGGTGGTCTTCTTTCAGATTTCAGTTTCTGGGACTTTTGTCTAATAGCAAGGAGTGTAGAATTCACAAATGTTTTTCACATATTTGTCTTTGCCTCTATTGATGTCTAATGTATTGTTCTTTCATTGTAGACAGGTTTTGATGCTTGGGCAATGAAGTAGTATTGACCTACGCCATAAAGAAAAATAACTACTGAATAATTTTCTTCTTTATTTCTTTCTGTCAGAAGAATTAACTAATATCTGCATATTTTTTCCTTTAGAAAATTATGGGATTTATTCTCCTACAAAGAAAGTGAAACAGCATTGGATCAAAGAGGAAAACAATAGAAAGTAGTCAGCAGGGTTATTTTTAAATTCTCCAGGATGCAGTTAGGAAGAGCCAAAGGAAATATTTCCCGAAGCACAAGCCAAGGAAAAACCTTTGAGAATCAGTGTAAGACAGCACGGCAGCGGAAGAGATGGGGAATGGCTTCCCGATATGACACAGGTTTCAGTAGATTTAGAAATGGCCTGGAGGAGAAACCCTATAAATGTACTCAATGTGAGAAAAGTTTCAGTCAGAGTTCAACTCTTTTTCAGCACTTGAAAATCCACACTGGAGAGAAATCCTATAAATGTGCTGATTGTGGAAAAAGCTTCTTTCAGAGCTCTAACCTCATTCAGCACCGACGAGTCCATACTGGAGAAAAGCCCTATAAATGTACTGAGTGTGGGGAAGGATTTAAACAGAGCTCAAATCTCATTCAACATCAGAGAATTCACACTGGAGAAAAGCCCTATCAGTGTGATGAATGTGGCAGGTGTTTCAGTCAGAGTTCTCATCTTATCCAGCATCAGAGAACCCACACAGGAGAGAAGCCCTATCAGTGTATTGAATGTGGCAGGTGCTTTAGCCAGAGCTCTCACCTTAGTCAACATATGAAACTGCACAGAGAAGAGAGACCTCTTAAAATCCGTGGCAAAAATACCAGGACGAAAAATCGTTTGGTATCCAGTTGGAGAATCCGTACGGGAAGGAAGTCAGTATCTTTGCTGTGCTAAACCAGAGACACCACTCAGGCCTGCTTTAATAAAAATGAAAAAACTACAACTCTTGTCTCACTATCACCCTTCTTGCCACCCCTTTCCTTTACTGTATCTCTCTTCCCCCCCCAACCCCACCCAACAGAAAATGATTTAAATTTCATTGGGATTTATTGTGAGAGTGTTCATATTTAGGGTGAAAGACTGATTCCTGCTATCATCGTCCTTTGGTTTGATGGTTTTTCACCTACAAATTTTCCTGTGGTGCTTTTAAGGTTTGATGCAATGAGAAGGTATGTGAACGTGCCAGTGGTCGGTCATTGAGTTTTAGGATTGGTCAGACATTGTATAAAGTAGAAGGAAAGGGAAGTTAATTCCATTCAAAGAAATGATGGGTTATTATTTTGGGGTTTTGGAACAGATGGGTTTTGTCCTTGTTGTGTTTGACATTTTTCAAGTGTTTAATTTGTAGAAGATTCATTATGAAAATTGAAGAATGATACAAAGATAGATTCAAGCTCATTTTTAATCAGTGGAGAGCAATTTAATCCATGTTGGATTAAAGGTTTTCTGTTCCTATTATTCTGCCTCATCATTTGTTAGTATAAGAATATAATAGAATCTCTCTAATTCTCATAGCTCCGTGAACTCTCCTATTTTCAGCAAAAGATATAATAGCTGAAATGAGATTTAGTGTTCATAGGACTTAGGCATTTAAATTACTATACTAACAGTAATCATGCTTTCCCTTTTATTCAGAGATAATGCTATTAATCTATAAATTAGTAAGTCAGTCACTTGAATTTTTTCAGGAGTGGTGTTGCATTTATTGTATTCATTTATACTCCCTTCTCTGGATTACCTGTGTTGTGGCCATGGGAATGAATTTTCAAGACCAGGGTTATGAGTGTAGTCTATATCCATTGAACAGAATGAAGATCTGCTGGCACATATGGCTTTGGCATCAGTAACATTGTGCTTTCAGCTAATCTTTTAGATTCATAAGCTCCTTGTAGTGAAAAGAAAGTTATAGCATAACAAAATATCTGACACTCTTATCTGATCTATTGACTATTTGCTTGTATGCTTGCTAATTAAAAACACATGATTTGCAACAAGTCTCCCTGACTTCAACTTTGAGAACTTTAGAAACCTTGATCTTATGAAGCAAATGTTCTCAATAATTACAAAAGCCATTAACTTTTAGTTTGGGTGTAATTTAGCTCCTCCTTTGAGATAAGCCCCCCCCTTCTGCTTTCTAGATCACAGTTAACATTTTAGAAGTCCAGGAAAACTGTTTCTGAACTTCTGAGGGAACAGTGTCATGTTTCAAACATCCTGGCCAAACTTAAGCTCAGGGTTTTGGTTCCTATTGGATGCCGAGATTCTCATAATTTTCTCTATGTTTTGTAATCATTTCCGATCCTACTGTGCTAATAATGACAGTTCTCCATATGAAATAAAACAATATTTTGTACAATGCCAACCCTTGTTTTTGAAATGCTCATTTTTCAGTTTCTGGTTTCATCCTTTTCTACTGTCTAATTAACCCTCCAGGGGTCTTTGGCCCTTCCTACTCACCTCCCCAACTTTTTGAGTCTTTATGATTCTCTCCAAAAATGAGGATAAACATCCTCATATTCTAGTTTATTGCCTTTTCCCTAGTCAATATCGAAGTGCCATATATGTTCCTTCTGACAATTCTGAGGCATATTGCACTGAACATATTAGTTATCCTAATTATAATCACTTGTGTGATGGGTAGGTAACAGTTGTACTTTATTTCTAAGTACCTTTAATAAGATAAAGTAGGAAATCTCTAGTTCACTACTTCAAGGTTGTGTATATAGTTTTCCTTGTGTATGTTCCACTGACAATAATGGATTTAAAGTTTCTGTGACCCCAACATTCATGGTGCTGCCACTATCCTGATGATGGACCTCTCCAAACTTAGCTAGGGTGACAGGACAAGTCAATTCATTTCTGGGCATGTACTCTTAGCCTCTTTTTCTTGGTAGTCCTACAGAGAGTACATACTTTCAAAATGAAATATTGGAGTGGAGTTTAAGCAGAGGAAGAAAACTATAGCTGTCTTAAATACATGAATGGAAAACAAAACTATTGGGAACAAATAATGACAAATCTAGGTTTAATCTATACCTCTTTAGGTACTCGGCTTCAGGCAAATACAATGCATACTGAATTGTTCTCTGTTGGCATGCTGATTGAGAAAGTCTTACATGTAAGACTTTTAGACTTTCTAGGGTGCAGGTTTCAAGAAATTACTAGTGTTTTTCTTTTTTTCACCATAGCCCTCTGCTAACATCAAAAACTGCACTGTATGACCCATCACTTAGTCATTTATGATATAGATACCACATGTCCAGGTTGCTGGAGACAGTGAAGCTTGTCAGAGATCTATGGTGTAGTTAGCTTTTCAGCAGAGCTATTTCTTACATGAAGAATGGCCCAAGTTTTAAGTTTATTCTGAAAAATGAATGTCATGTTATTCCTGCTGTTGGGGTGAGAATGAGAAGGCCTAAAAGGGGTAAAACTACTAGAGAAATCTCCAAGCCAGTGAGGTCAGCATGGTACAGTGCAGAATGCCAGCTTGGGAGTCGGGTTCTGGCTTCAAATGTTGCTTGACTGCTTTTTTGAAATAGATCATAGACTTAGCTAGAAAGTACTTTGGGAGTCACCCAACCTAAATTTCACTAAATTTTATCCTGATTTTGCAAAACTAAGACCCAGAGATATTGATGTGCCCAAGAGCATAAAGTCAGAACTTAGAACTACAAGGGACCTAAGGTCATCTAGTTGAACCCCTGCACCTTACAGATGAGGAAACAGGTTGGAGGGATGTCTTGCCCGAGGTCATATAGGCAGTAAGTGGCACTGTTGGGATTCAGACTAATCCCTGGATTGCAAATTTAGTGCTCTACTAATTTCTTTCACCACTTATGAATCCTGTGGATGTCAGTTTCTTTATCTGTAAAATGAGTGTTGAACTAGATCACTCTTCAGAGTCCCAATTCTACATCTATGATCCTATGTTTATTTTGGATCATAGATCTTCCTAGAGATTGTTTTTTTCCCTACCAAAATCTGTGACCCTAAGCAATGATCACAGGGATTTATTTCAGTACCGGTATTTGAGGAAAGTTGGCCTTCAAAGGGAAATGAATGGTCAAAAAAAAAAAAATAGTGCTGCTGGAGAAAGTAATGACTGTGATGTGGAAGCGTTAAGCTAGATGACTAGGAATCTTTCATCGATCATATCCATTAATTTTTGCATTGAGTGGGATATGAGAATAAACTTACAAGGTCTCTTCCACGTGTACATTCTGTAAAAGTACAAAAGCCCAGGATGTAGCACTTGATGATAATCTGTAATAGGAAAGTTGCTCACCTTCCACATAATTCTATAATTCAGTGTTTTTTTTTATTTTGTTTTTTACATTAGATGAGAGTTCTAAATGCAGATCTTGTAATACTGAATATATTTTGCCTTTTTTTCCCTAGTCTGTCAACAACTTATTGATTGACTCATTCACAAGGTGATACACATGATCAGTATTAAAAGGAGTGTAAATGGCTTCATGGGAGTAAAATCCCTGTAATTAATATTTCAAATGAAATTTTATTCATAAATCTAGATTTAGAAGGGACTTAAAAGGCCATCTAGTCCAATGCCTTCTGTTAGTTAATGGACCTTAAATTAGTCCAGGGGGATACAAAGACAAAAACAAATGAAAACCAAAACCATTCCCTACCCTAAAAGAGCTTACATTCTATGGGGTCCCTAGGATTTTGGGCTCACCAGAAAGGGGTAAGAGCACTGCGAGGCCTACTCCCCCCTCCTCCCCATCTCCACTGAAGAGAGTCAATTTCTCTCCATTTCCTACCTCGAATACTCCATGGACATCTGAAAAAAAGACTTAGGTATTCCTTGTGTTTGAATTTTTCCCCCACAAACAACATGATAAAAGGATTCACAGGCACTCACGAGCAAATAAAGTATTCAAATATATCTCATTAGACTCACCCTTCACTCACTCAAAGAAAAGACACTTTAGGAGATTTCTCTACTAATATTACACACATATGTATGTATGTATTTATGATGTTTGCACAATCAAAGCCATTTGTCACTTATAGGTTTGGCAAAGTTTGGTCCTGTTGCAGACCCCATTTTAGTTCTTTAGCTGAAGGGCTACCTGATGGTTGTCTTCCTCAGAGGGTCATGCTGTTGAGGAAATCTAAGGTCTAGTGACTGGACATGTGAACTGAAAAATGCAAATTTCAGCTCAAACTTTCATGAAAGGTATTCTTAGAGTTCTAGGGTGCTGGGTACCTAGAAAAGACAAAAAAGGGGGGCTGCCCCAGTTGAAGTCTAGAAACTTCTTTCCTAGACTTACCATCTACTGGGGCAAGTGGGGAGTTGTTGGGGGAGGGGTTGGTAAAGGGAACAACCCCCTCCACTGCCTTCTTGGTCCCACTTTTTCCCCCTGGAATCCAAGGGAAGGAGTGCAAAAGGCTAAACATGGGGGTCAGGGAGAGGAAGAGGTCAAACTTTTGTTTGCCAACTTCTGGCAAAACTTGGTCCCTTTTGAGTCTCAGTCAACATCCATCTTGAAAACAGTCAGTTACTGGTTAACCAGCTAGTCTATAGGCATAAGGCAATGCCAAGTGTTCCTGATCAACCCTTATTACACTCCTTCCAGTTGAGTATTTGCTGTTCCAGCCAATCAAACTTGAGTGTCATTGGATATATTTTTCCTTATCCCAATTTCTCCTATAGGGAAGTCCATGCCTGGTTTTCTTGTTTGCTTCCCATGGTGCCTAGTACTGTAGCAAAAACCATGCAGCATGGTTCTTAGACATTCCCAGGTTAAAGGAAGTGTTTTGTCAGTCCAAATTTTCCATAACTGGTGGGCTTGAAGAATACATCCACTGCCACCGCCCTCCCCAGAAAAATTAAAGCAATGAATAACTTGTCAGCCACCACCCCCAACAAATAAACAAAGAAGCAACAATTTTCTTCTCAGAGGGGAAGTCTAGTGCCAGATGAGCTTTAAGGTGTGTGGGACCCTCCTCAATAGGAGCTAGAGATCTGAGGTGGATTAAGAGTCAACCTTTTACATTCAGGGGAGAAGCCAAGCTGTCCTGTGTGAAAAGTTCTCAGCCCCATAGAGAAGCCCTAGACAATTTCACCAATAGTTTCACTGTAGCACCTAAAGTAGCCAGAAATAGAGTTCCAAACAAAATTTCTCCCATGAATGATTCCATTTACATTTTTATCCTGAGGCCCCTAAGAGACTTAAGTTCTTGCCCTAGGATGTGTAGGGAGGTAAACATCAGACTTTGCCAGGGCTATCAAATTCCTTTGTCCACCCCTATCTTGAAAGCAGTCTTTATCTTTGTATTCTTTCAAAGTGCCTAGCATTGAGCCTTGCTGGGAGTAGTAGGTATCCAATAACTTGGTGTAATGAATATTTAGAAGAAAAAAAAGCACATGTGGATTCTAGGCCTCTATGGCCCTATGCCTTGAGTTACACTATACCAGAGAAATGGGGGAGCTAGAGGGAATTTCCTCTGGTGACAGCTTTTCCCTTGGAAAAGCGTACTTTGAAGATGTATTCAGGAATGAGAATTCAGATCTTCTAGGAAAGACAGTGTGATGTCATGGACAGAGCATTGAACTTAGTCAGGAGTCCTGGCTTTGTATCCTGCCTGAGACACTGGCAGTATAAATGGTCCTAGGCGAATTACTCAACTCAGAGCGTCAGCTTGTACATATATGAAATAGCAATTCTAATACTTAAACTACATAGCTTATAGGGTTATTTAGGAAACTGTTTTGCAAACCTTGAAGTACTATATGAATGTGAATTATTGTTGTTTAGTCAGCTAGGATAGTGATAGACCTCGTCAAATGCCCTTCTGGAAATCCAGGTATTTACTATGCCTATTATGTTCCTCTAATGAGATCAGTCTGACATGACCAGTTATGCTGGTTCTTTGTGATTTCTTTAACCCATTAAGTGTACAGAGACCAATAATGTGTTCAAGAATTTTGCCAGGAATTGAAGTCATTTACACTGGCCTATAGTATGCCAACTCTATCTTCTCACTCCCTCTCCCCTTAAAAATTAGGATATTTCCCCCTTTTCAGTCCTACAATTCTTTAGTTCTTAAAGGTTGTGCTGGTTGAGCATAAGCTTGGATAGGCCTTCTCAAACTGGGCAAGAGTTTGAGCATAGGCCTGGATATGTAGGTCTGTTTTTTGAGGACCTGCACAGCTAAGTTTGGGGAAGATTAACAGAAGATTGTGGATAATGGATTCTATTCCCAACATCACTAAGTGCTGAACTTTTTTTTATTTTTTTACACTAGCAACTCATCAAGCCTGTCTAAGATGTGAGGGACTACAATCTACAGGAATAGAGGGAGTACCCACACTGATAAAATCATGAATTTTGAAGT